GTGGTGCTAATGTTGGATATGGCCTAATTCCTAAAGCACAAAGTAAAGAACTAAATACTATAGAACGTATGACTGTAAACAATTTTATGCTTAATGCTAATTCAACTCCTATTGATTTTAGTAATCAATTCGAAAGTCATCTAAATGGTTTGAAAGTTTGTCCCCTAGATACGTTCACTAAACGTAATGAAGAAGATAAACACAAAAAATTTGTTTCATATTTGATTAATGAAATATACAAATTAAAAAAATTAATAATTGATCACTTGTGATTAAAATTAAAAATATATTTAAAATTTTAATTTATAACTAAAAAATATAAAAAGTGTTTAACTCAAAATCTACAAATATTACTATAAAATCGCCTATTCATATCTCGGTAAACAATGTTACCACCGCCAGAGTTTAATACATACTAACTTTTTAACAGAAAAATACTCCCTTATATACCTCTACTGATCTTATTACCTAGTAACATTATCAATAAGTGACATCGTTTAAAATATTTAGCCAGTTTACAAAAATTTAATACATTTCTCAGTGAGCTAAGATACTAATTTATTAAATTATTCTTATTTCTAAAAAACATTGATAACGCCTCCCTTATATTAAGTTCTTTGTAATTGTTTACGTTTTTAAATAGTTTTATTGTTTTAATAAATTTTCAGCCACAAGAGATTTATCAACTACTTGATTTCTAGTGTTTCTTATTTGTTCTTTAAATTTGACTCCCATGTTTAATTTTGATTAGCCTATGTAACATTTTATAAAAGTCCCGTTTACCCCTTTTTCAACTTTATTTTTAGGTTTGCCAAACAAATCTCTTAAATTATTATCCTTAGGTGATACTAAAGTAATACCAAAATTTTTAAAAATTCTTTTTAGCCCATTTAAAATGACAGGATAATATAAAATGGGCGACTTAAATACTTCCTCCCCCTCCTAATGAGTGTATTAGCTGCTTTCCTTTCTTTACTCCACTTTTGAATTCGAAATAATTTTGAAATTACGTTTTCATCATATGAATTAAATCTGGCTATTTCTTTTATAAGTCCTAGTTCTATATCAAAATCTATTTTATTCATCGGAATGTTAGCAAATAGGTAAACCATACAGTGAAAGCTACCATTTTGTGATGACACATGTGGTTTAAATAGCCCGGCATGTAACTGAGTATACGCATGCGTGTTCCGAATAGTTTTTAAAATTGAGTCCCCTTTCAATGCTTTTAATTTATAAATCCAAATAAAAAGCAATTTTTTTACAAAAAAAATCTAAAAAATGGCCCTTAAAAAAAAACCTAGCACAATGGGGTCGCGGCACAGTATGGACGTGGCATAGTTGAGACAAGTATAGAAGATATCTGACAATGATTAAAATCACTATCATAAGAAACGCTTCGATTCAAATCTGTAGATAATGTTTAATTTTAAGAAATTGGTAGATTATTTCGAAAACAACAATAACACTTATTCCCTTAATTTTATCCCAATTTATAATTATAATATATGAATACATAATAATTACAGTAATTAAATTTAGTATGAAATTGACATTCAATAATATAATATTGTAATTTTTACGGAGATATTATAAAAATAAAAAGGATATGTATATTCATATACTTTTAATGCGTATAAAAATTTAAAGGGATTGATGCAATACTTTTTAATAGTGATGGGCATTTTCGAATATTTTAAACTATCGAATAGTATTCGATAGTTTTTTAAAACTATCAAATAGACGTAAAAAAACGTATTTAAATAGACTATCGAATAGTTTTTAAAAATATTCGAATGAGCTAGCGAATGGTGTCAAAAAATATTCGATTAGTTCTAACTAAAATTTTTATTAAGTACACTTAATTATAATAAGAAGATAATTAACGAATACTTAAAATAAATTATTATACAATTAATAACAGTAAAAAGTACCATTTTATTTATTTTTAGTTTGTGAGTCGTTGGTAAAAATTGATAAATATGGGTTGAAAATTAAAAAGCAGTTCTTTTTTCCCATGACTAATGATATATTTTCAATTTTATCGGAAAGGTTTGTTCTATGCGTAACAGAAGTATTCGTAAATACTATAGTCTTATTTTACACTTAATACCTTGTATACTGTTCTTAGTGTAGCATTACCTGCTCTTTTGTCATATAAAGGCATAACACCGATAAAGAGGACAGCGCGTTTTAAATTACTTGTTAAAAAAATATGTCAAGTTAAATTTTTTAAAACATTGGTCTTATACAGGGTGTTCAGTAAGTCAGGAAACGGGTTTCTATTGTTCTCATTGTTTGTAACAATGAGAACAATAGAAACCCGTTTCCTGACTTACTGAACACCCTGTATAAAATTATTGTCAAATTTATAGTTTTGCTGTTTTAATAACACTAACGACTAAATAAGATTATTTAAAACTGTTTATTCAGGGTACTACGATTATAAATAGGATACAATTAATAATAATAAAAATTAGTGATGGGCATTTTCAAATATTTTAAAAACTATTCGAATAGACTATCGAATAGTTTTTATGAATATTTGAATATATGTGTAACTATCGAATATTTTTACTATTCGAATAGTTTTTGAATGACTATCGAATAGTTCGAATAGTGGACTACTATCGAATAGTTGATAGTTACTATTCGATATTTCCCATCATTACTTTTTAATAAAAAAATGTTGTTACTTATGGATAAATACACTAGACTAAAAGGAACTTTCATCAGAAACAAAATTATACTTTTCTAAATCAACTGTTAGCGATATTTTCAAATGTGAATTTAACTTTTTCTATGATTTCTAAATTTTAATATTTTTACTTATTATTAAAAAATAAATATTTACATATAAAAATTGTTTTAAATTAATACTGATTTTGATTATTAAAATGTTAAAAGTAAGGAATATGACATATTTAACCTATTGTTTTGATTTTTTATAGTTGATTTATGTGAATGTTTATAATAAAAAAATTAATCTATTTTACCATAACTTTTAGCTCAATTGGCAAGTTTGAAATTGACATCATTAAATAGAAAATTTTAGGAGAATTAAAAAAATTGTATCGTTAAGATTAATATGCAGTTGGGAAGTTCTATAATTACTATTTATAGTAAATTTATCAGAATAGCTCAATATTTTTTTGCATTTTTAACGTAATAGATAGCTTAAATAGAAATAATAGTAATCATTACTTAGTAACTTTTGGTGTTTAAAAAGATTCTACAATTGAAATATTCAGAACTTAATTAATTTTAATGATTTGCTTTAACTAAATGAACCAATCAAAACAAAGTTGTTAAAAAGATTTACTCAATTGAGCGTATTATAAAATTTGATTATAATTGTAAAAATCCATTGTTAATTCATGAGAAATTAAAAATCATTTTTTTTACTTTATGATTTATATAGCAACATGTTACAAAAAAATTTGGAATATTATAGACTGGTAGTAGCACACACAAATAAAGTTAAAAATTAATAAATTACAAAGTAAAATTATTTACTTTTATAGTTAAATACTTTTATCATATCAAATCTAATTCGACAATAAATACTTTAAAAATATTAGAAATGAATGATTTTAATTGTTTGTATGGAAAAAGCTGGTTGACCTACTTTTGATTTGAATAAGGAACATTTTTTCAATTTTTAAGGGTAATATCTTCAACTAAATACGAATTGTTATTATTTGACGTATCGTTGAAAAAAGTAGGTGAAGTTAGAGCAGAGAAAATAAATAATACTCACAAAAAAATACCTTCTCAGCTTTGCATCGAAACTAAAACCTAAAATATAGTAAAACAATTTTAATATGAATAAGAAATTTCTTCTGGGAAGGGGCTACTACAGTGATGGAATCTTTGATCTTTATTGAAGTTATTGAATCTAAATGAGATAAAAATCAAACGAGTTGAAAATTTATTCTAACTTATTCTAAAAAGAATTAAGAAAAAAATATCCTTGCCATACGCGGGGGTTGGAACCTTGTACCGCAAGCGCATTAAACACAAGTTTTACCGATTCGGCAACCGTACGTCGCTACCATTGGCTGAAAAGAATGGCTAGTTAAGCTAGTTCAAATTTCAAAATTATTTTTCTCGACTTACAAAAAGCAAACAAATTTAAATAAGTTTAATAAATTTCTATGCTATATCAATTTTATTTATATTATATTTATCCAAATCAGTGTACTCCCATTGTCATGTATTTTAAAATAAAATAAAATACAAAACCCTGAATTTTAACACAAAAATAGCATATTTTTGAATATGGTAGTCATTTTCACCATGAAGACAAATCCAGAGGTCATATATTTTTTTTCAAATTAAAGTATATTACTCTGACTTCAATTTAAAAAAAAATTATATTAAATTGTTAATATTTCAAAAAGTTATAGCAATTTTTAGAAAAAAAAGTTTAAAAAATATTGAAATTTAGCGTTTTTAAAAATCGAATTTTTTTAGGGGACTTAGTATGATAGAGTACTGAGAGAGGTCCAAAAGTGGGCGTTAATAAGAGTCCCCAAAAGGTACATTAATATAATAGAGGATATGTATGATTGCACTTGTACTAGAGTAAAAAGTATGGGAGGATTAACAGAAGGTTTTCGGGTAAGAGTAGAAGTGTATCAGGGTTCTGCTTTAAGCCCTTTCTTATATTCTATAGTGATAGATGAAATTACTAGAGAAATACAAGGAGAGGTGCGTGGTGCATGTTGTTTGCTGACGATATAGTGTTAATAAGGGAAAATAGGGAGGAAATTAATCAAAGGCTAGAGGTGTGGAGATCAGTTCTTAAAGAAAAGGGTTTAAGAATAGGTAGGAGTAAGACAGAGTATATAGAGTACGAGTTTGAAAATGAGAACACGAATTAGTTGAAATAAGATATCATTTAACTGCTCCACCTTCTGTAAGACGTCTCAAGCGAGGACGTCCACACGACCTTTTAACTTAGTTGCTATCTTATTATTTATTATTATTATTGTTATTATTATTGTTACTTTCTCTCCTTTATTCTTTCAACACTAGCAAAATAAAATGTATTTAATGCAAAATAAGCTTTTCCTCAATGAATGTGAGAAAGATAAATTAAAAAGTGACATTAAGGATTTTACACTTCCAGAAGAATTAAAACAAAGACAATCTAGTTTAATTGTATTAACAAAATTTTACTATAGATTTTCATTTATAGCTTCATTAAAATATTTTTAAAAAATTCTAGATAAATTTGGAGGTAGACAATGCAAAATTAACAAGCAAAGTAATCGAATACCGTGAAAAATACAACAAAAATAAAGCACATATTGAAGAAGTTAAATCAATGATAACTAGTCAAAATATTAAAAAAACTAGTAGAAGAAAATATTGATCTCTGTAAAACAAAGGTTAGAAAATTTTTTAATAAATTTAAAAAAATAGACTAATGTTTATTATTATTTTATTTTTAGAAAGCATTAAAAAAGCAAGTGATAGATTTACAAAGTTATGCTAAATTATTAAGTAATAAATTGAGCGAAGAAGTAAACAATGATTTTCTGTAAACTTAATTCTTAAATTTCAAAAAAGATATCTCTTATTTACAGTCTGCTAAATGTGGGTCTGCTGTTTCTAATCAACATCATAATTTTCACCTAGAATCACATTATTATTATATAGCGTGGCAAAAAATGTACTTAGTAAAACTAGCTCATGGTAAAGACAAGCTATTAATACTTATTATCCCTGAGCTTGAAGATGGCTTTCTTAAAAGTATTAGATTAGCAGAAACATTAATTACATTGAGACACTTTCCAATATAATACAGGAAGAACAATCTACCCAACAAGAGTTGCTACAAGAAGTTAAAACAAATAAACTATTAAAATCCTAGGAAAGCAGCAGGCGCGCAACGTGGAGGTAGTGACGAAAAATGACAATACGAGAATCATCCCCTGTAATCGGAATGAATACACTACATATCTCTTAATGAAAATAAAGCGTATTAATATATAAGTTTTAATAATGATTAGAATATATATATATACATGTAAAGGGACTTAAGTACGTAAACGTATCATGCATGAGGTATAGCCGTATTTTGTGGATGGTTGTGGCAGGGGGAACATTATACACAAGGCATATACGGCGACAGAGGCGTCAGCTGTAGGAATATATAAATGAATATTAATATATACGTATATATAAATATTAATATACATATATATATGTTTATATATATTAATATTAGCGGCGATGGTAAGAATATATAATCTTCGCATAATATCGCGGCACTTTCGCTGGCGTCCACAACTCGGTGTCCAGCATGATCCTCTGGCGTCAAAAGGTTAGCAGTGTAGATGACGACGGTGCGCGAGTGCGGATCGCTTTGTTTACGTTGTCACTTTGACAACGGGAAGAAGACTACGGTATCATTAGCGGCGGGACGAAATTTTTTTTAGACTGAAATGATTACAATATGATCATTTACAATTTGATTATAATTGTAAAATAAATATGAAATTAGAGTAAATAAAATTTTAAAAAAGGACTAATAAAAAGTTAATAAAATTGAACATAATTTTATAAATTAACATAAATTCAACTGAAAAATCGAAAAAGAATTGATAATTTTTAAAGGGAAGATATATCCTCTTCTTACCCTTCCAATTGGCGCCCAATTACGCCTCCTTGTATACTCCTGGATCTTATTTTTGGCGAAAACATAGTATTTTTTTGTCTTTAACATTTATCTCTATAAATATTGAAAATACAAAAATATTGCATCAAAGAAAATATTTTTAAAATCTTATACATAAAAATTAATTTCGAAAATTTTTGTAGTACTACAATTTCAGTGTAAAAATTGAAAATAATATATATATTTCAATGTATTTTGTTAAAAACTTTTATCATCCTAATTGAATCAAGCAAATCTTATTTAACTACAGGACGATTGGTTAACTTTGCCTCACGTAATATCTTTAAAGATACAAGTGTTATAAGCAATTTTTTTTTTTTATCTTTATGGGATCTTTGATGAGCCGTTTCACAAGAAAAATTAAATTTCTATCACCATATCCCCTATACTTAAAACTTGTATTAACTTCAGATTTTCAAATGACAACCCCGTATATTTTTTATATATTTTTGTTCGTTATAAAAAAAAAAAGTGCTTAGCAAAAAAATAAATAAATAAAAATTATGAATTTTAAACAAGATAGGCTATTTTAAAATATTCGATATTTGAAGAAAAAATGCAGTAGTTTTTCTAAACGGTATATTATTATTTTATGTAGTGATATGAATTACCGATTTACTTTGACAAAGCAGGTAGTCTATTACTTAAAACTGGTAGCGCTTATCGATTTATGACCTATAACGTTAGAGTCTGTTATGATTTTTACTTAATAAACTCCAAACTTTAGAGAGTCGTGAAGCGCTTAATATTAAATAAAATAAAAATTTTTTTTTTATTACGCTAAATCTAATGGTGCAAAAAAGAATAGGGTTGCCAATTAAAATATGAATTTGATACAAGTTTTTAGCATAAGGAATGATGATAGAAACTTAAATTTTCTCGTGAGACATCTCATCAAAGATCCATAATGATTAAAAAAGAACATTGTTTATAACACTTGTATCTTTAAAGATATTACGTAAGGCGTCGTTAGCCAATCACCCTATATATCTGTTTTGCTGATGGAAGAATTTAATACAAAATTTACTAAAAATGAAAATCAAAAACACTTAATTATTTAGAATTAAATTATTATTATATTCTCTAATATTGTTCATCAATTAACAATGTATTTATTGTAAAGGTCGTTCGAGAGTACAGAAATAATTATCATGTTTTACCGCAATAAATTTATAAATTATACAAATTAATTAATGCATAAATAATTTGTTGAAATAATTGAATAATATGGAGTCCACATTAAATAGGCAGCAAAATTTAATGAGTACTTTATCCAAGCCTAAGAATTATTCTGAACAGAAAAAAAATACTTCGGATAATTTATTACAAAAAAATCAGTTTGCACGAGTACTAAGAATTTGGAGAGCAAAAAGCTAAATAAAAATTCATCAACTCAAAATTGTTCAAAAAGTAGGTTTTTTTAATATATTATCTATAAATTTATTTTTTAATTCTAATTTTTTAAACAAAATTAAGGTGTTCAATGTATATCACCAATTTCAAAAAGATGTCAAAGTTTTACTTCAATTTCTATTTTCAATCCAGTACGAACACTTCAATTTTTATTAAGAGAAATCAGTCATTTACCTAAAGTTGAAAGTATTTGATTGTACTTATTTATGTAAAATGTATTTTAAATAAACATATTTTTAGAGCCAGATCTTACAAATATTGTTCATGATATGCAAATTGTAGTGGAAAGAATTGTAGATGAATATTCAGAATTAACTAACCAAAATTCAATTACAATAAATGGTTTTTCAGCTATTCTAACCAAAGGTGAACATTTNCAATTACAATAAATGGTTTTTCAGCTATTCTAACCAAAGGTGAACATTTTCTAGAGAACTTAAATGATAAAAAAAACGGTAGCACAGTGGGGTCGAGGCACAGTGTAGACAAGGCATACATGGAACAAGTATAGATGATACATGACAG